CAAAATAATTTAGCCAGAAAATCATATTCGAATTTCCCGATGGCCATGGAAAAGGACCAACAATTTGCGCATTGCCCTTATTAAACATTCATCGTTCATTCAAAGGGCTGTGTATGTGTACCCGGGGACTATAATAACAATGAATACAAATTAAAGACCATCAGAGGCATTATGATGAGTGCATAATATGGGCAGATTCATTCGCCAGATTATCGAGTGTATGGAAAGGGGCTCAATAATGATACGCCCAGCTGGAAATTGAAGTGCAAAGAGGCGGCATGACGTAAACTAAAAGGGAAAATAAACATAAACTTACTAAGACCAGATTAATTCCTAAAAATTATCAAAATAAAATAAAGTTAGGGAAGTTCCTAGATTATTTTAGGCAGATAAATTAAGTTGTAATCCTTTAAATTTCCTTTATAAAGTCCTTTAGTTTTTCCAAGTATTTCCATTTACTTAGCTTGCTTGCCCATCGTTTTTCTCTGCCAATGATTTGTTGCCTATTCCTGAGCGCGTTGCTAATTTACGAGGCTAATTTGCTGCGGCAACTTATTCATTGCGCTGCACTTGACTGACTCAGTTGTGCCTTTTATCCCCACCCCCATTCTTTTGTTGGCCATTTCCTGTCACGTCTCTGCCACATAAGACAGCAAAAACAAAAACACAAACAAAAGAAGAGGCAACAGAAACAGCAGCTTGAACGGGCCAGGCCAGAAGAATTTGTAAGGAAAGTTTCGTTGGATCCAAAGGAGAGATGTAAGAGGGGGTCAAAAGTATGCCAATTGCCAGGGTCAGGGCCTAAAGACGAACAAGAAGCAGAAGACGAAGAAGCCAAGCGGTAGCCAAGGTTTCCACTTCATCTCCTTACTGCTCCTGCTGCAGCTGCAGAAAGCGGAAAGTTTATCGAGTTATGTGCAACAAAGTGACGAAAGGAGATGCTCGGACAAAGGGAACTGAACTGGGGAGCGATTCATCCAAGTGATTATCCCAGTTCAGGCATCTTTGGCAGGCGATATCTCATTTGGTTTTTTCAGGGATTTCTTATACCTTACAGGGTGACTAATCGGAGAGGGAAATGAACTGTAAACTAATTAAGTTATTAGTTTGATTACGATTTTAATATTTACTTTGATATGGATAGTGATATTCATATTTCTATGATAGATATTTAGATAATCATTTTTATAACCAAAAAGGAATATATTAAACTTGTATTGATTATAATAAAGGAAAGGAAACCAATCTCAAATAAAATCCAAGTAAACTTGCAACTAATTTAACTAAATGGGACTTTTTGCATCACTGGATATCCCCCTTTGCTATTAAACATTTTAACTATGGCTAATGCAATTATTGGCAGACGCACAAGTGGCCAGGAGACGGTGGGCGGGTTAATGAGGTGGAGATTCCTGGATAAAATACGAGGAGGAGGATGGAAAGGAGGACAAGTTGGCTTATTTGCCAGAAGAGATCATCGCAAATGGGTTGGCAACCCGTTAAAAAGTCAGCTTTCAATGGCCCTTGTTCGGCGTCTCTCTCTCTCTTTCTCTGTCTCTCCTTTTGGCCATCCTGTAGATACTCCTCTTAATTTGCCACCCACCACCGCGCCCTTCATCCTTGACATCTTTTTGTCTCATTAACATTTGCGCCACACAATCAACGGCAGTCGACGAGACTGGACATCGTTCTTTCGCCCGCTGTTGTTGTTGCTGTTTGTATCTTTCGTTGCTTATTCACACTCTCTTTCTGCTTTGCCCTTTTCTTCTTTCCCTTCTTTTCCCTTCGCCCAATTCTTCTGCACTTTGGCTGGATAATGTGCAAAGAGCACAGTGGTTCCAAGCTTATTATTACATTAAAGATCATAATAAAAAAAAAATGTATAAAATATGTCGAATCATAAAAAAGAAAGATAAATTTACTATAATCACTTTTTGTAATTTATTTTTGAAAATAAAAATTATTAACGTAAATGAAGTTGTCTAAAGAACAGCTGTCATTTATATAAGTAAATCATTTGGAAAACCCCAAGTATTTTAAAAACATATCTCTTTTTTTGACACCAAAGTTAATTAAACATTTTTTTTAATGACCAGCGTCTGAGTGCAGAGAAGCTTTTCCTCCTGGAAAATGACTGCGGGTTAGTCTTCACTTAAGTTCCTCTGCTTTTTGCCCTTTGCCATAGCCAATGACACCATTTTTTGCTTTTTCTGTCAGCTTTTTTTTTTTTTTTTATTTCTGCTGTCTGGGCGCAAATTGCAAACTGTTGCTTCATTTAGTCTGTTAATAACTTCAATTCAGAAAATAATGATTTAAATTTTGAGCAGTCAAAGAGTTTGTTTTTCCATATTTTTTTTTTTTTTTTTAGTTTTGTTACTTTTTACTAAAGACAATAATTGTGAAAAAATTGGCTTCTTTTTCGTGTATTTAATTACAGAAATGAAATATTTTATAAGATTTTTTCAGAAGCTTGTAATTGCTTTTTTTTTTACAGAGTAGGGTATTCAAATCTTCGCCTTGATAGGACACACTTTTTCTGCTTTTTCTATTACTCTTCATAATCCCAACTTCTTTCGCGTGGGGTATTTTAAACTTCGTTTTGTTAGCACCCTTTCTGTTACTTTTTATTATCCCTACTTCTTTTGCGTAGGGTATTTAAGTATTCGCCTTGATAGTACCCACCTTTTCAGCTTTTTCTATTATTTCTGATTATTCCAACTTCTTTCGCGTAGGGTATTTAAGTCTTTGCCTTGATAGGACCCAATTTTCCCGTTATTTCTTATTATCCCAGCTTCTTTCGTGTAGTGTATTTACATATTCGCCTTGGTAGCACCCACTTCTTCTGCTACTTTTTATTATCCCAGCTTTCTGCTGCAATTTCAATTTAGTCTTTGTTTTGTTCTGTGCTTTGTCTTTTTCCTTTATTATTTTTTTCTTTTCTGTTGTTTGTCATGGTTGGATGTTGCTTTTGCCGCTGCTGCTGCTGCTGCTGCTGCTCCACGCGATGTTGCTGCTGCTGCTACAGCATTTGTTTGACAAGCACCACGTACAACATGCTCGTTTGGCTTGGGGTTTGGGGGCATATGAGTTGGCTGCAAAATTAAAAATGATATGGAATCAACAGGGCAGGGAGCTGGGGAAATTGGCAAGCAAAAGATGCACTCGACCATGTTAACCAAGGGCCGAGAACTCGTTGGAGTGACTAAAAAAAAGAGTCAACTTTATGACGTGTACACAGCGAGTCCGAGGCAGATACAAATAAAAACAATTAAAGGGGGATTGGAATTGGGTTTGGGATTAAAATTGATTAAAATAAAATGAGATAAAGATCTTTAAAAGTCAAAAAGATAGACCATTTCGTTCATATCCAAGGATATATGGCAACAGGTTTAAACTGTTACCAAAACTGGCAAACTAAAGTTAATTGAATTTAAGCCATTAAAATGTAAGCTCTGTTTCACCTTTCGGCCAACCTCAATAAAGTTGGTTCGCCTCTTTCCATTTAACCCCTTAACTTTCCGCAACGATCGTGAAAATTATACGCTTTTTTTATGATTGTTTTTCCATGGTTTTTCCAACGTTCGTTAGTTGCTGTCCGCGCGACTCTCTGTGGAAATGCTGTCCCACTCTCCTTTGTCATTTATGCAGTCAGCAATATGACAAAATTCTCGATGCAACGACCGCAGCGGAGGTAACAATGGAAAGCAGAAAAAAAAAAAAAAAAATGCAAAAGAAAGGCACCTGGAAAAAAAGCTGGAAAATAACAACGGCTGAATCATTCTACCTTTATTTTTTTTTTTATTTTGTTATTTCCTTTTTTTTTATATTTTTGTTACCCTGTCTATATTGCGCATTCTTCTGGCATTTTCTTTGGCCATTTGTTTTTTATGACATTTTATTATGACGTCAATAGGAATAAGCGTTTAATTGACAGTTGCTGCGTGGTCCTTCCTTGGCTCCTGTGGCAGCTTTTCCTTTGCTTCCGCTCTTGATTCCTCCCCATCTCTCTTTTTGTTGTTTGTTTTAAACTTTCATTTCTAACTTTATGGAAATGTCTCGAACAGCAGAAGGTTTTGCGTAGTTTTAATGTATGGAATTGACAGTTTTATTGCTGTTCGATATGTGGAAATAATATGTTGCTGACGTTGCATCATTGTTGTTTGTGACTTTGTTGTTTCCGTTTGGGGTCTTGAAGTTGCAGGTATACGTTGTAGCTATGTTGCAGTTGCAAATTAATGCATACTAGGGTAATATTTGAGTTTTCTTGAAAAAATTTGATGTGTTTTTTTACGTTAATATAGTGATTGATGGCTTTTTATGGTTAAAATACGATTTTATTGAGCTTTCTTTATGAAGATAGTATATCTATATCTGTTAAAAAAGTTAGGTAGTTAATTCTACTATTTAATAGGTACTTTGTAACCTGTTAAAACTGCCTTGGTTACTACTAAGTTCTTTCTTAGAAATAGGTTTTTCCATATTTCTAGTATAATTTTAGTTATTGTTTTATAATTCTCGCATTTAATGTAATATTAGCAAATTTTCCAATAATTTTGAAACTTCTTAAACTACAACATTTCCCTCAATGTCTCGTTTTGACAATGTCTCTTGCCCGAAGAGTTCTTGTTGTTTCAGTTCCTGTTGTTTGTGGTTCCTGTTACTGTATTTATAGCAACTTAAGTTGCTCGAACTCCTCCTTTTGCTTCCGTTGTGGCTGCAACAGTTGCATCAACTGATATTGCCCCGCTTGGTGACTGGCGACTGTAGTTGCAATTGCGGCTGACATATCCCATTACAGTTTCCGTTACTGGTTTTTAGTTGGCTCAAAGGAGATGCAAACAGTACGACATCTGCACATGCAAAAGAGTTGAAGAAAATGCTAGGCTATCTTCTATACGTATATATATATATATGATTTTTACTGCCGATAAATGCAACTCTCTAAAACTATTATATATACATATATTTATATACGTTCTTGTTCTCTGTCTAACTTGCAGCTACGCAAACTGGTGGAAAATTGTGGCAAACTTGTGTCGTCCCCCCAACTGTCATTGTCTTTGGCATTGGGCAACATTTTAATTGAAAAAGTTTTGCCAACTCGCACGCAGGGAGAGAGATGACTGTGAAATTGGCCAAGCTGTTTGGTGGCGTCACCGGCGGCAGTGAAGTACTGGACTCTTCGGGCAGCCACCAGCAACACCAGGAGCAACATCACCAGCAGCAACAGCCACCGCTGCTGGCTGCACCGCAACAACACTTGCAACAGCCACCACCTCTGCCGCCACCGAATGCGAATATGAAGAGCCTAAAGTATTACGAACACCTGCAGGCCACCTATGACTGCCACGATCTGATGGATCAGGATCAGGATGACTACGAGGACACCTGTATGCAGAGGAATCATCCCTACAACAACTCCCAGAGGCCACTCTTGGGCGATAGGCGACCCCAGCTCACGGTGATGAGTGTGGGCAAGAAGGGCGGAAAGTCTGGGATGCCACAGCAGAATCAGCCACTGGCACCACTGCCTCCGCTAAGGAGCTACATCTCACCCTATGTGCAGCAGCAGAAGCGGGACAGTGCCAAGGGATTGCATGGATTCAATGACTTCGATGCCCTGTCCCAGCAGTACAACCAGCACCTACAGAGTCCTCACATTGGCTATCCTTATGGCAGTCCACCCTCGCCCACGGCTCAGTCCAGTGACTTTTGCTTCGATCGGCAAACAGGATTGGTCATGTTACCCGGTGCCGGCGGCCAGGTCATCTCAAGCAGTTCCAGCAACTGCAGCAGCTCACACACCACCTCCACCTCTTCGCCCACCAGATATTATCCAGATAATTCCGGCAATTCCATGCTATATCCTTCACGTTTCGAGGATGACTTCTGCATGCGTCGTCCTGCCGTGCTGGAAAGCCCGGCAATAAACGTCACAGCAGCTGGAGGAGGACCCTTCATCTTTGGCATTGCACCAGAGCAACAGGTCACGGATTATGGAAGCAATCCGCTGCCACCAACGCCCCCGCAGCTGAAACAACAATCTGTGATTAGCCGAAGTCCTTTGGTGAGTTATCTTTTGGTATTTTAATTATTTTTTTTATTTTGTTTATTTTTGAGTTTAAATTCATTCAAATCTATGTAGCTAGGTATTCGATTTTTAACAGATTTAGGGATATTCGAAAAGGTGTTAAAAACATCAAAATGTATAAGCAGGAAAAATAAAAATTGTAAAGCAATTTAGTAAGGATTTTAGCCACAAATTTTGAGAATATGTTAGGTTTGAGGGTCACTTTTGGGTCACCTTTCTGAGAGAGAAATTTAGAAAAACATAGAAGTAAACATAGAAGACTAAATATAGAAGAAAATCTAAACAATGTAGCAGAACCTTGCCATTTTGCAAGTACAACATTTCACTACAACCCCAGCTATCCCACTTACAATTATCCAACCGTAAGATTCAATATACTCGTATTTAAGAAAGATTATCAAATCTCACACCCTTAAACATATTCACATATACACCCAGATTATCAAACCACATATTGATTACAAAATAACAATAAAAACATTGAAGATCTTGAGCTACAGATCGTAGCTGTCATAGCTCAAATTTCTTCGCTAGCTCCCAAACTTAATTATTGCTTTGCCAGGGATGCTCAACTTCGTCTCTATGGCAAAACGTTTACTTACACAAATACAAAAAAGAGTGCACATATTTAGTGACGCTTTTGTGTTGGTTTTTAGCTTTGCACTGAGAGAAAGAAAAACACTTCTTCTTGCTAATCTATTCATCATTCATTTTACTGACCCGCCAAATGCGAAATAAACTCGAAAGTGAAACAGAAGTTATATGGAATGATTTCCAGTGCAAGTGCCGGAGGATGATCAAGAAAAAAAAAACAAGAACAGTTAGGGCAGGAATGAGGCGAAAGGAGGAATAGCAAGGAGTTCTCGAGGATGATCAAGGAAGAAACAAGAACAAATTATATTACAGTTAGCATAGGAATGAGTCGAAAAGGGGAAAACAAAAAAGTGTTGGTGGAGTAGCAAGGAGTTTGAGGATGATCGAGAAAGAAACAAGAACAAATTGTATTGCAGTTGGCGACGGAATGAGGCGGAAAGAGGAAAAAGAAAAATTGTTATCGGATGTCGATGTGCAGGGAGCATTTACAAAAAGAAATGAGAACTCAAAGTATAGGCGTGTTGAACATCCCTTCCAGATCCATCCCATCCTTTGGTTAGCTTTGAAATAAAAAGTAAAAAGCCTTTGAAATTGTTTTAAGATTAGTTCAGTTACATGATAGAAAGATCTTGTTTTGCGCCATCAATACCCGATTCATCAAAATCAGATAACTAACAAATAAAAGTTCACCAATAATTAAATAAACCGCTTATTTTAAGACGTAAAGTTATTAGATCAGAAGTCACCTTTTACCGAGCTTAAAATTATCAGTTCGGGGCACCAATTCCTCAATTTAGCTTGTTTTTAATCATAAAAAACTGCCAGTAACGACGCGTCTTTATCAGCAATTCGTAGCTAGTCATGGAAGAACAACATAATAATAGAGTCGTCTCCAACAGAAGCAACAAATTTTAGCAACTGGACAGGTCTGTGAAAAAGCCTTGGCCAGAAAAACCTTTTCTTTGTTGATTTTCGTGGATTTTTTCTCACACAGTAAAGTGGGTTTCGATGGGTTTGGGTATGAGTTTGTGTTTGGGGGAAGTGTTATGAGAATTTCACAGCATGCAAACCACCGCTAGGAAGGGGGTGGGTGAACAATCGATTGTTCTTCTCTTCTTCATTATTATTTTTTAAGTTTTTCATTGCTTTTCTTTTTCTTTTTTGCTGCTGCTGCACTCTGTTTTGGTGGCTTAAGAATTTACCGTTGTTGCTGCTGGCGTGGGTGTTGCTGACGCGTTGCCGTGGCTGTTGCAGCAACTTGTACTGCTACTGCTGCTGCTGTTCGGATTGCAACTCCTTTCAGCATTTCGTATTGGGACGTCTGTCTATTTTGATAATGGCCAAAGATGCTTCTCGTTCACCTGGCAGACTCGAAGATGGTCAGTGGGGGGTTAGGATGAGGCATAAGGGAGTGTTAAACTCACAGACGGCGGGAAAACAATCCTCTTGCCACTGCCACTCTGCAGCATCCACACGAAGACAAAGCCCATCAATGTCTGAGCCTGTGTCTGGTTGAGCTTTTCATTTCAACAGCCAGCAGCTAGCAGCCAGCAGCAGGAAATTCAGGACTTTTCAAGGCCCTACACTTCACTCCATTTTCACCACCCGTTTTCCCACCCCAACGTTGTGCAACTCTTCGCCCATTAAAGCCAAGCAAATTAAAATGTTGCACAAATAAAATGTAAGGGCCTTTCCACGTCTCTCTCGCCGTTCTCCATTTCCCATTTCCACGCAGGCAGGACGAAAGGATTCCTTGGCTGCAACGGGCGACTGGATTAAAACACATTTCGTAAATTAATAATGAAATTAATTCATGAATAGCAAGTGTGAGCGAAAGTAAGGGCCCTCCCTTCGCCCAAAAATCGCTCAATTAAAGGCCGAAATGGGCTCGTAAAGGAAATGAGGAAAAACTATAAGATAAGGAGAATGGCAGATAGGGAAGGCAAAAGGAAAACATTCGTTAATTTGCTGTTAAATTTAAACTTAAGAAACAAATGTAAAATATTAAGAATTTTCCGTTGAAATGATAAAAGAAATTTTACAAAAATTATTTATAAATTTTCTTCAAGGAAAAATCCTTTGAAGGTAATTATTCTGAATGAAAACCTTTTTGGAAAATCCCTTGGCTGTAATGAGACAAAATTGGCCTGGTCGAATGTGCTTGGGTGCCTGGGTGTGGGCCCAGTTAAAAAGCAAATTACGCTAATGAAATGTTTTAACCCTGATGTGGATGCACTTTACACCACTCCAAACTCCCAGGCAGGCCAACGCTTTTCCACACTTTTCCCCATCCGCCTTCCCCTTCGCCCCTCATTGAGAACCGCAAAAGTCGCCAAATGTGCCGGCGAGGGGGAAGGGAAAACCACAAAAGTAGAAACTGAAACGAAGGAAAAAGAAAATTTCGTAATTACACTTAAGTTGGTTAATTGTCGGACAGATATTCCGCTTCTTCTGCTGCAAACTTTTCCGCTTTTCCGCCGTTCACGAAAATCATTTTTATGGCCATACTAATTATACAAATGTAATGGGATTTATTTTACTTTTTTAAATGGGTTAACTTAAAAAAGCAGAATGCCAACTAAAATATTTAAAATATTTTTATTAGATTTTCTCTTTACCTTTTTTAAGGGGTAGCCAAGGCTTCGATTTAAGTTTTTTTTTTCGTTTCGTTTTTGTTAGCCTTAGTTTTGTTTTTATTTTTTGGGGCGATAGGCACTCAACGTCGACACTTTTGGGGAAAACTTTAGTAGCATTTCCATGGGGCAGAGAAAGGGGCTGAGTTTGGTGGAGAAAGCTGAGTGCATGTTAGATACCGATACATGCAATCTCTGTGTTAATTACGCTACTTTCCCAGATTGCCAGAATGCGCAAATAAACAGAGGGATTAGCATAAAATATATATATATATATATAGGTAGAGAGGTAAAGAGAAAACGCGAAAGGTAAAGACAGTTAGCCAAATGGAGGAAAATGAGTTTTCCAATTGGATTTATCGAATGATTTCAGGTTATCTTCTTAGAGAATAAAAATGTCTATAAATAGGGTATATAGATTCAAGTTGATTTGAACTTTTTTAAGGACACTAATGAGGTTTTTCGGTCAGCCCCAGTTCATATACTATATCTTCTATATATGGCAACAAGGTTGCGGTCTAAAAATCAGTCTCAGTCTCAGTCTCAGTCTTAGCATCGAGCAACATCGAAAGCAAATCAAATTGAATTGCAAAAAATCGTCTTCGATTACACGGCCACAGACCATATATGCATATATCTATATATATATAGATTTATCGAGTGTATATATATATATCGTAGGAAAGTCAGGGAGAGGGGAGTTTTGAGGCTTTGAGAATCATTTTGTTTTGGCATTGCAAGCTCAATGGGCATTTGATAAGTAGCGCAATATCGATTACACTGGCCAACAAAAGCAGGGTGAGTCAGAGCTATTATGAGTCACTGTGAAATGGTGCAGCAATGGTTTTTTAAAGCTTCTCAACGGAGACTTCTTTGTTTATCAAAATAAATAATTTTTAATAGTAAAAGAGGGTGACTTACCTGCAGCTCAGTGTCGTTGCTTGTTGCTGATTTACCTGTTTTTCTGTTTTTTCTCAGCTTGTTATGGTTACTGTTCTGACTGTTGTTGTTTCTGCTGCTTAACGTCTTTTTATCTCTGTTTGTCTTTGTTTTTGGTATAACATTGCTTTGAAAATTATGCCACTTAAGATCAATTTACCTTTCGGCCATAAAACAAAAGCAAAGCCAAGCTCTGACTGCGAACAAAAATCCAAATAAAATTTGTTGTCTGCCGCAGCTGCAAATGTTGTCGGCTGTTGCAACTTGGGTAATTGAAATCACTGTTGCTGTTGCTCTTGCTGTGTTGCACTGCGGCAAAAATTTGGGGTCAAATGAATGGTTATTTTGCGGTAATAAAAACAATTAGCCGTTCATGACCCCGATTTGGAAATTGGTTTTTAAGGTCATTTGAAGATTTTTTCCTTCTTTTTTTTTGGATCTTGTGATTGTTGAGAATCAAGAAATTATGTTTTAGATATGATTTTTAGTAGTTTAATTTTTATTATTATTAATTTTAAAGAATTTTATTGAGAGCTAAACAAGGAATGAAAGTTTATTGAGATTTTTAAATGCTTTTTTAATCATTTTGAGTAATTTTTAGTATAAAAACTGTAAAGAAGATACTATAAAAATGGATTAGAATCAGAAATTTCAATGATAAAAATGAGTTTTTTTTATTAAGCTTTTACTTACTTCTCATACCAACTTACATCCATTTTAATCTCTCTAATTTTCCTTAACTTATTTGTTCTCTGTAGAGTGGTTGTTACTAGCAAAGTTGTCGCCACATAGTTAAGTTGTTTTGGCCCG